GGGGGGAGGACCCGCGGCGGGGCGGGGGGGAGGTGGAGGTGGGAGACATCTGTGTCGTGCAGGGGTCACGAAGGTCAAGTATATGTTAACAATGGGCAGGCCCGGCGCGCTAGGGCGCGCGGGCGGCCTCCCTCCCGGCCTCGCCCTCTCCAGTGCAGCCTGGTCGTGGGGCTGGCTCCCTAATGATGCCTTCCCGGGACGCCTGCTCTCCGGCGGCCCGAGTGCCCTGCAGTAACCCAAGACGACCACTTTCCCCGGCCATCTGGAGCGCTCCTGGCTGCCCTGCCTGTGTCTCATCACTGGCTGCAGAGACAGCTCTGCTAGAAATCAAGCCACTCTCAGATCTCGTCTCTAATCCCCTTCTGTTAGCTGATTTCCAAACTGACTATTTGCTTTCGCATTAGATAATAGCCTTAGAGAAAACAATTATCATTTTCTTTTTTTCCTCTTTGTTTTTCTACTTCTCTCGTATACCATCAAGAAGGACCCCTTTCTATCCCACGTCTTTGTTGGATGTGCCCCCCTCCCCCAGACATTAATATCAATACTTTGGAGGGGTGGGAGGGAGTCTCAGAGGAAAAGATAGGGTGAAAGAATTCCAGATATTTCCAGAGTAAATAAATAATCTCCCAGTGAACAGGACTGACAGTTTGTACAGAGCAAAAAAGGGCTTGAATAATAATGAAAATATTAATATGTAGGTCAAATATGATCAGATAATGGCTTGCAATGATGAGTAAAATGAAATCTTTTAAATTATTATGGAGCGGTGCCACGACTGCAAATGTTATTATATTTAGTGCAACAATTTGAAATCGTACTCTGAGCCATGTTTTTTCCCAACTGGCCTAAATCAATGCAAAATGTCCTGTGTGCATGTTTCTAAATCTCGTCTTTACAAAGGAAAAAATGCTTAAGATAGAGTCAGAGTCAGCCTGATGCAATGGGAACTGATGAGACATTCGTGGATTTTATTTTTGAAAGTGGTGCTTCAGATATTTAATAGTGAGTAATATCCCTTCCCCCATCCTTTTAAACCCAGCTGGAGCTTCCAATTCTGAAGTCTTTTCAGACTCAGTATACTAATTTTTAGCAATCGTTTCCAGAAAAACACTCATTGTACATTATGCCCTCTCCTTGAGACATTTGACTAACGAATTATAATGGATTAATGAATTGTAATGTTAAGTATGGGTATTTGATATTATGATGCTCTTAATTTGAATCTCAAATTTTATCAAGTTGTACATTCTATAGTAATTTCTGCATTACAGCTCTTTATTTTTTTGCTATCCTTGCAAATCTTAATAGCATTAATAATAAAATATAAAATTTTATATATACTACTATAACTCCTTTGTGTAGGAAATTATGTCAAAGCTTACTTATATTTTCTTTAAAGAATCAAAAACATTTTGATATTTTAATATTCTATTTGTATTATTTCTTCTGTCCCTCAAATTGAAAACCAATAATTTGGATTCTGGAACTATGCATACATGCTTATTTAAAATTAATAAAATGACATCTGAATCAGGAATGATTCTTGTGAAGTAGTGTTATTTCTAAAATCATATTTTAAAATTTAGAATTAATATCAAGTTTTAGGATGTAAAAAATAAGGGGAATATAAAAATATACATATTATGTCACAATTTCCTTCTTCCTGTAAATTGTGCCAATGTAGGTGTGAAATTATAATGGAAACGTTAAGCTTCAAAATCGATGGAAAGTAACTTACAGCAAATCAAAACGGAGTTTTACACTTTCAGGCTATATTCACATCACCAAGGCATGTATTTAAATCCTGTTTTATAAGATTCTACAAATCTTACAGGATCTTCTCTTTTAGCAGTCATACTTCTGGGAAAATAATAATCATTGTTGTAATTACACTTTAAAAAAACCCAACATTTTCTACTCAATTTGGCTTTATATCAGATAGAATATATCACTAAATCTGAAGGTTTTTTAAATTTTGATAACAGCAGCTGAAGAACGTACATCCTTGAGCTGATGTAGAATGACTCAGTATATTCCTTAATCCCACTTTCCGCCCCTATGAAGGCCTTCGCTCTGTAAAATGTGGAACGTATTTTTCTGTAGGATTTATCTTTGTGTTATCTCCTAACTCCTTTATTTGAAGCAAATAGTAACTATAGGGACCAACTCAAGCATGAGGTGATTCTTGAATTGCAAAATCTAGGAAAATAAAACATTAAGTGAAAAGGGTGGAGCTCATTGTTATGTGTGGTGGGAGGGTGTGAATTACCTGAAAACAGTACAAGTCCACAAAACATTTGGTTACCCTGGCCTCGGAGTGGGGGATACACATGACGTAACATTCATAACACAATAAACTATTAATTGAAACATTTCTTAAAACCAATCCAAGGAGACAGGGATGAGTACTGTCTCCCTAGCTGCCACTCACGAGAAAGACCAGGTTTCTGCACCTTTAAGACTATTCGGCATGTTGAGCTAAAAAAAAAAAATCTGAAAAATAAATTTTTTTTAAAAAGGAGATTGTTTAGAAAAATAGGCACCTACCCACCCTAATGAAACCATTAAATTGTAGAATAAAATATGCAATAATGTGTTAAACTATATAAAAACCCTTACTAACAATTTTCTTTTTCTCACTTTAGAAAATTTTTCTCACATCATTAAATTTTCATTATTGTAAAGGTACTAAGTTCTTTCAATTTACAGGTTTACTTTTTCAGTAATGTTACCTAAGAATGCTTTTTGTTTTCCCTTAATTCTAAAAAAGAGCAGAAAGCTTTCAATACAAATTTCAGAGGAGTGCCTATGACCTTCTTTAGAGATGTGGGGTTCACCTCTCACAAAGAGGGATTCCTACACAAAATGTCAACAAGCACTTCCTCAGCACTTTTAAAATTCCTTCTTATAGATCTTAAAGTTTAAATGAGTCCCAAGCTGTGATTTTCTCTACCTTAAAAAAGTCCTCCTATTTGCCTAGGTTGATGAAAATTCTTAATCACCATGTTACTTATTTCTAACAAAAATTGTTTATTGTTGCAACTGTGAAAAAACAGAGTACAAAAAACATAAAGAATAGCAAGTAATAATTACATTTTCATAAATTTAGTACTCGCTATTTGCAATTTCTCTTTCTTTTGCTGTGTAATTTTATGTAGTTTACTTTTTGAGCTTTGCATGGACAAGTTTTATTCCAAATCTTTGCAATTTGGATATTTAACTTGTTTAATGTTTAATTTTAAGACACAGACATGGGCTGGCCCGTGGCTTGGCAGTTAAGTGCGTGCGCTCCACTACTGGTGGCCCGGGTTTGGATCCCGGGCGCGCACTGACGCACTGCTTCTCCTGCCATGCTGAGGCCGCGTCCCACATACAGCAACTAGAACGATGTGCAGCTATGACATACAACTATCTACTGGGGCTTTGGGGGAAAAATAAATAAATAAATTAATTAAATTAAAAAAAAAAAAAAGACAGACAGATAAAAGAGTAAATTTCAGAGATGTTTTTATTTTACTCTGTAGTAGTTAAGCCACATGTACTTAGTACACATTCAGTGTGTATAAATACATTAAATACATTCTTAGGAGACTTTCAACCTAAGATAATAAACAGATTTTTTTTAGTAGAGAATTTATAAGCTAACCTAAAAATGGCTCTCATCATCACTTCAAATAAGCTGATCGGTTTTGTAAGATTTAGCTGCAAGTTTGCAAACAGAGTTTGATTTTAATTCATGATCCCTATGTGTTCACATAGTCATGTGTGTTTTTCTGTAGTACTTTAAAACCAGTCTGCACCCAAAAAGCCCAAGTTGCAAAATTTCAATTACTTATTTAATTTGAAAAGGAAATTTTTTTTTAAGTTTGGAAAGTTTTACAAAATAATTCATAGTAGTGTTTCTTTAAATAATGAGTTATGCTTTAAATATTTAAATATTTGTGTTTGTCAGATTTGGACACGTTAAACTCTGCAGGAAAGCATTTATTGCGTAATATGAAACACACATACATGCGATACATGTATGTTTTTATGTACAATTATCTGTAATCTAGTAATTATCTCATGTGACATTTTATACCTAATCCATGAAAAATAATGATGCCAAATAAAAATCTTATTCACATGGTTCTAATTTAAATTGAATATTTCCCACCTCCATTTTTGAAAGTTGATTTTTATAATACCATAACCAGAATAAAATCCTATAACTCTCCTCCCCCACTGAAATTCTGTATTCCCCATTTTTTATTGAACGTGCCCAGAGAAGTTATTTTTCCTTTTTGCTGCATTTTTTTTGTTGGTGGCTACTCTGCCTGTATAATTCTCAGTTAGGTGCATATTACTGTGATGTAACTGCACAAAGACAGGAGTCTTTGTTTTGTTCACTGAACAGTGCTTGGCACATATTAGACGCTCAATAAATATTTGTTGAATGATGAGTGAATAAGATGCAAAAGCTCCATCACTTAGATGTCTTGTCTCATCTAAACGAATCAAAACCTCACCATCTTGACTTCTTTTTAATGAGTTATTAAGAAACCTAAGATTTTAACACTATCAATGTTTTAAATAAAGAAAATGTGGGCAACCAAAGAAAAGGGTCTTCTGTGTTGTTTTATAAGTGTATTTCAATACTTGAAATAATGGTGAAGTTGATGTGAAAAATGTATACTTGTATTTTTAACTGTTTATTGAATTCTTTTAGAATCTGTAATAAACCACAAATGTTTGTGAAATTTCAGTTTACTTTCTACAATAAGCTAGAAATTTAAAAAAATACTGTGGAAAGGAACTTGGAGCTAGGGACATCTTAGAGATAAGT